CTTGTCATGCCACCGAAATGCCATGATGTCATTGGCAGCAAAGGCTTGCACCTCACCTCTGCGAGTGCCAGCGTCGAACCTTGGCATATGTTTACGATTACGACGCACTGTGCTACACACGTCTGTCAAGTTCACTTGCAAGAAATCACTGAGTAAGGGGCTTGTGTACCAGTTATCAGTAAATAACATATGCCCCTTACCAAGATATGGTTCCATCATTGTTCAAACCACATCACCAGAGATACCCAATAACTTCATGGTATCTCTCAAAGTATTACTGCCAGTGTACACAATGATATCCAAAACTAGACCACTTCTGCAATCACACAGTACAAATAGCTTTACACCAAAGCATTTCCTCTTGCTTGGTATATATTGCTTGAATGAGAGTCTTCCTTTGAATAAAATCAAGGACTCATCAATAACAAGCTTCCTGAAGGGATAAAAATACATGCAACACTTTTGTTTCAGGTACATAAACACATTTCTTATCTTATATAACCCGTCGCTTCTGTCAGGCCTGGTTTTGTCTGAAAAGTGTAACATACGTAACAGTATCAGGAAACGATTGACACCTATAATGTCACTAAAACCTGGAGTTGAAATCAGGCGTTCTGTTGCCCAGTATATGGTGACAGTGTGCTTATACACATGTGGCATAAGCATTATTGTGGCAAAAAACAGGTACATCTCTGCCACAGTTGTCTCCTTCCACTTGTGTAGCCGTGATTTTGGTGAGAGAATTGTATTTGCCATGGTGTAATCACAGTATGTGTTTGTTTCCCTGACAATGATGTCCATCAGGGGTTCATCGAAGAATAACTTAAAGCAGTCCAGTACACTGGCATTGTTCCCAGGTGGACATGATGGCTTTATTCCACTTTGTGTTTCATCAAAGTCATGGGGACTCAGAACAAACTCGTCACCGTCCTGCCAATCCCAGATGCGGTCTGCTGGTGGGGTTTGGATATTGTACCGTGGTTGTGGTTGTGCAGGTTGTGGGAGTGTGGGGTCGGGTGAGGCTGGTTGTTGTGCAGAGTCAGCAGCGTGGGTAGTAGCGTGGCCCGCTGATGGTGCCACATGGGCCGTGCCACCCTCACAATCACCACCACTGCCTGCTCCCTCACTCACATCATTCATACCCATCGTTACAATATCGTCATCTTCACTATCAGGTCGTGGTGTAGGGCCATGGGATGTGCTCCCAGAGTTTCTCCTTCCCCTTGGAACAACATATGAAACACTACCAGACCACATGCTATGTCGTACATACTGCCGCTTTACTGGGGAATATTCACCGTCACTGTCACTAGAACTGCTTTCATTGACCTTGAAATCACTATCACTATCACTATCACATTCACTGCTAACATCTGGGTGTTGTACACGACCAAATAGTTTCCTCTTTCGTCCTGGTACAGGCGAACGTGAACGTGAACAAGCCGGCCCAGCACCAGAGGTGGAAGGTTCTGGGTCATCTGGGTTTTCATCACTAATTACGTTATCCTGGGCACTTTTTCCGGTAACACTCACTTCAAAACTCTGGAATTCACTGTCACTGACATTTTCATCGCTGTTAGAGCTATCACTTGGGAACAAAAGACCTCCAATCCACCGAGGAGTGAGGAACTTCTTACCGAAAGGCATGGTGAAAATGGACTAACAAGATGGCATTCCCACAATGCACCGCTGGGTCCCAGATTTTTTTCACAGGGTGCACACCGACCACTGAGACCCATTCTCTCTCATGTAGGCCTACCAGGCCTTTCCCGCTTGATTTGAAGCCGCTAGAATTTGTGCGTATAAATACGTCAGAAACATTGGCTCGTAAGACGTATTTATACGTCGTAAACAGTCAAAGGGTTAAACTGTCCAAACATAGATCTATGTTCACATGCGTAGTGCTCCAACCATGATTTTCCCCATTTGAAAACATGTAAAAGGAAACGTAGATCTATGTTCGGAGCCCCCCCGCACGTGGATGTAGATCTACGTTTGGACAGTTTAAGGGTTAATTCCTGCACAAATTTTTCAGAAGCATGTTTGTCAGAACTTGAAGCCTCCCCATGCCTTACAACACTGTGTATGCCACTACGCTTCTTAAATCTCTCAAAACAGCCTCTGCTGGCCTTACATTCACTAACATCATCATTAGTACCAGGCATTTTCTTTACAAGATCTGCATGCAACTGCCTTGCCTTTTCACAAATGATCGTCTCTGAAACACTATCTCCCACTGACTGTTTTTCCCTGATCCACAACAACAACAGCTTCTCCATATCTTCATTAGTTCGTGGTCTCTTTTTTGTTAACAGGTTTACCCCTGTCACCACATGAGCTTCCTTGATATTTTCTTTCATTGCCAGGATAGAGGTGATTGTTGATTTGTTTTTGCCATACATCCTGGTAAGTTCCAGCACCCATACATCACTCTCATATTTTTATATTACATACTTCCTTCTTAAATTCCATCGTGTTTCTCACTTTCTTTACCAAAGGAACTTTCTTGGGGCTCAAGGTGACTTATTTCACAGTCACAGTTAATAAAACCCACAGAAAACAATGGATTTTAAGGAAATGTTCGGATGAATGCGCAGAGTATGTGCTCACTCGCTAACAGACAAAGGGAGAATGACTCACCAAAGCCCAGTGTCCTGGCAGGAGAGGCGGGCTAATGCGTCTAATATGGCTGTTATACCAGGCAACGGCTGAAATATGGTGCAAAGTTTCTGCCAAAAAACGGCCTAAAAACGAAATTGCCGATTAACAAAGCAGCTGAAAAATGAGGTTCCACTGTAATTGTTTTTATCTGTTGGGTCTCATATTAACATATAATTGTTTTCATCTGTTGGGTCTCATATTTACATATACAGTGGACCCCCGCTTTACTATCAGCTCCCAATGCGACCAATTATGTAAGTGTATTTATGTAAGTGCGTTTGTACGTGTATGTTTGGGGGTCTGAAATGGACTAATCTAATTCACAATATTCCTTATGGGAACAAATTCATTCAGTAATGGCACCTGAACATACTTCTGGAATGAAATTATGTCGTAAACCGGGGGTCCACTGTAATTGTTTTCATCTGTTGGGTCTCCACTTTTGTGTATTGGAGTAACCCTTGCAATCTTGAGTAATGTTGAGAAAGTGCTGCTTTATAGTAATTTATTAAAAAAGTAATCTAATGGTGGGTGAGAGAATACGAGCTGTTTATTTGAACAGTAGTAGCGGAACTGAAGCAAAATTTCCTGATTTGTTTTTTAGTGAATTAATAATCAGGGTGACTTCAGTGGGCTCAGTTTCAGCAAGATAAAGGGATGTTGGGAAGTTTCCATCACTCACTCAGGTATTGGTGCTTGGAATTTTTTTCGCAAGACTTGATCCTATAGTTGAGAAGAAATCATTTATTTTATTGGCTTTTTCAGTATTGTGGAGTTGTGGTTCAATGGGTTTAGTTAGGACAATATCCTATTTTAATCAGCTTTTGAGTGCCCAGGATATGAGTGCCTTCCAGGTCTTTTCTTATATCTCCTCTTGTTTCTGTGAATCTGTTAGAATAGTACAGCTGCTTGGACTTTCCTATTACTTTGGTGAGGACTGACATATAATTTTTAAGTTCTTTAGTTATTAAGCCCCCTCTAGATTGTTTTTCATAGTGATGCTCTTTGTAAGCCATGGCCAACCCAGTTTTTTTAGTAGTGATTTGCTTAGTTTTTATAAGACAGTGTTTGTTGTACAGTTTATGTATGTTTTGTTGAAAAATTTCTATCCATTCATCAACACATCTGTCATTGGCAAATTCTGCAGGCCAGTCAACTGAGCTTAATGCTGCAGTGAAGTTACTCATTGATGCCTCATTGTGGAATTGAAATGAGATATTACTATATTTCGTTGGTTGCTTAGAAATGTTTGTTAGGAGGAAGGTGGGGTAGTGGTCATTAGTGTTGTCAGTGATTATTTCTGTTTGGTGAGAGCTAATATATTTGTCCGTATATGGTCATTTATGGTTGCACTCATCTCGGTTAACCTTGTAGGTTTAATTATAGCTGGTATGAGTAATGAATTCTTCATACTGTTAATGAATTCAGTTACTGATTGGTCATCTGCTATTGGTGTAAAGCATGGGTTTTTAAACACTAGTAAAGATGAGGTTGGAGGCAGTGGAGATGTGTCTGAAGGCAGTGTGTTGGGTGAATATTATACAGAGAATTTGTAGTTGAGAGATTAGAAGGAGGTGCAGGGTTATTACATGTATTATCCAGGAGGCTGAAGAGGGATTACTGAGGTGGTTTGGAGATTTAGAGGTTGGAGTAAAATACAATGACTTGGGGGGTGTATAAATTTGTATTGGAGGGAAGAAGGGTTAGGGGTCATCCTATGAAAGGTTGGATGGAGGGGGCAAATGAGGTTTTGTGTCTGAAGAGCTTGGTCATCCAGCAGGTGTGTGTGAAGAATAAAAAGGCACAATACCATGACTGGAACAGTACACAAACAAGCTGCACATAGAATTAAACTTCTGCCAACATTTCAGTCCAACTTGGACCATTAATGTTTGTGTGTGTCAGCATGTTAGATAGAAGTGAGTGAAGGCAAGTGGTTTTTTGACATGACATGCTGTTGGAGTGTGGGCAAGGTAATATTTATGAAGGGATTCAGGGAAATTGGCTAGTTGAACTTGAGTCCTGGAGGTGTGGATGTTGCAATTTGGAGAGATAATTGAGTTGTAATGTCATTGCACCTCTGGCAAGATGGAGATCGAGTGAGTGATGGTGAGCGTGTTTCTTCTTTTTTTGGGTGACCCTGCTTCAGTGGGAGACAGTGTGTTTAAAAATTATATATTGCATTTAATAGTGATTCATTATAAGCTAATTATGTGTATGATGGAATATGTTTTGTAGCTTTAATAAACTTTTAATAAAGTTCTAACATTTTGAATTTTTATTTAATGTTTAAAAACATAATTTTAGCATACAAATAATTTGGAATCATCAATTGACAGTTATTCCGAGAACCTAAACTGGACCCCCAAATTGTCACAAAATTTTTGCCTGCTCTTGTGTCTTTGATGGTGGATGATGATGTGAGAAGATTTAATGCCAAGTTACCACTGGATGAGAGAGAATCTGCCATCACCATTATTGAACATTCTGGCAAGTACAAATGTTATTCTGTTAGTAAAGAGCATAACTCTTCCTTGGACTTAGACTAGCCAGTTAAAAAAATTAATTAGTCTGTAGATTTATCCGAGTCTTTCAGTAGCTGAATTCAATTATAGTACAAGGTTTGTACAAATCATACATGAGGCCACACAATTAGGGAAGGGAAGTTAAAAGAAGTACAAGGTATCATATATAAAAATATATATTGTACATATGTCTAGTAGTTTTTAGGGTATGTAAACCAATGATGTAGCTGGCAGGGGAACTGGAAAAGTGGCTGTTCTCCTGAGCACATTCTGTGCCTTATTTTGCCCTTGCCTTGTACATGTTTTGAAGCACTCAAAAAACATATCTGGAGCATTTGATCAGTCATAGAGTGCAAAAAGATCAGGTTGTCACCAGAATATCGATGTTTGGCAGAATGTTGTTATTATATTCTTATAAAGAAGTTACACATTTCTGAACTAGTTTAGCCCTTTGACTGTTTCTGTCGTATATATACTTCTTATGCGCCACCGTGTTTAACGTATATATACTCATAAATTCTAGTGGCTTCAAATCAAGCAGAAGAAAGCTGGTAGACCCACATGTGAGAGAATGGGTCTGTGTAGTCAGTGTGCACCATATAAAAAAAATTCTGGAGCACGCAGTGCATAATGAGAAAAAAAAGCTCCGACCGTGTTTCTGGATTAAAACGTCAACTTTGTGGTGCATTTTTGTATAGTATTTATGGTTGTATTCTCATTTTCTTGGTCTTATTTGATAGAATGGAAAACATATTATAGAAATAGAGGTGATTTTCATTGGTTTTACTATGAAAAGAACCTGGAAATGGAGGTCAAAGTAGGGGAAATGTTTGATTTTTGCCGGTGTTCAAAAGTAAACAATTGATGTCATTTTCCAATAAATGTCCAACTAGCCATTCTAATATGAAGTCATGAATGGGTTGACATTATTTGTACAATTATTACAGTATTGCAGTACAGTGGACCCTCGACAGACCCTTTCAGGGTCTGTCCCATAGATCTACAGCTTCATGTTGAGTGTCCAAACCATAGATCTACACCAAAATTCTAGCGCCGTCAAATTTAGCGAGAAAGCGCTCATAGGCCTACATGTGAGAGAACGGGTCTGCATGGTGGGTGTGCGCCATAAACAAAAAATCTAGGCGCCCGCATAGCATTGTGGGAACGCCGGCTCAGTTACCATTGTTCACCATGCCTCGTCGCAAGTCAGCTCTCACTCCCCGGAAAATTGGGACTCTCCTCTTCCTATCTGATAGTTCTGACACTGATGGAAGTGGAAATGATGAATTCTATGGCTTTGATCAGTTAGTGACCGAAAGGAATGACCAGGATATCAATAATAGTGCAGAAAACCCTGACGATCCTCAACCTTCTACCTCTGGTGTGGGCACTCGTAACTCACGGTCGGTTGTACCTCAACGCAAGAGAAAACTAATATTTTCACGTGGCCAGGCCTCTGACTTCAGTAATGATGATGACGTGGATTGTGATTTTATTGCGCTTGACGATCATTCGAGTAGTGATAGTGAGGAATCATATTCACCAGTGAAGCGTCGGTATGTGCGCCGCCTCATGCACTCGGGTAGTGTACCCTATGCTGTGCCCAGGGAACGGAGTACATCCCAGAGTACATCCCGGAGTACATCCCGTAGCCCTACACCAGGTTTAGATAGTGATAGTGAGGATGATGTGGCTACACTTGGCATGGATAGACCACAGGCATCAGTAGATGGTGGTAGTGGTGGTGGTAGTGGCACCGCCATGCATGACTCACCAGCCAAGGCTGGGACCCACGCTGCTGACTCAGTTCAAGGACAAAGCGGAGCGTCAGCCACCAGCCCACCACAACCACAACCACCCGCACAACCAGCCTATGATGTCCAGTATCCACCAGCAAACCGTATCTGGGATTGGCAGCAAAATCCCAATTTTGTTCCCAAGCCCCACCACTTTGATGACTCTCAAAGTGGAATTCTACCTACTTGTCCCCTTGGAACCACGACCAATGAACTGGAATTCTTTGAATTATTCTTTGACCAGCCATTGATGGAAACTATTGTCAGGGAAAGTAATAAGTATTTTGAGTACACCATGGCAAATACGATCATATCACCACAGTCAAGACTACACAGGTGGAAAGAGACAACTGTTGCAGAAATGTATTTGCTTTTTGCAACAATAATGCTTATGCCTCATGTCTATAAGCATAATATAAAAGCATACTGGTCCACAGATCGGCTAATTTCTACCCCGGTCTTCAGTGAAATCACCCCAGTGAACAGGTTTACCCTTACTGTTACGTATTTTTGCATTTCTTGATAAAACCAGGCCTGACAGAAGTGACAGGTTATACAAGATTAGAAATTTTTTCATGTATCTCAACAAAAAGTTCAGCATATACTTTTATCCATTCAAGAATCTTGTAATTGACGAGTCTTTGATTTTGTTCAAATGTAGACTGGTCATTAAAGCAGTATATCCCGAGCAAGAGGAAAACGCTTTGGTATAAAAACTGTTTGTACTCTGTGACTGTGACAGTGGCCTGGTGTTGGATATTGTTGTATACACGGGAAGAAAAAACATTGAAAGATACCAAGATGTTATTGGGTATCTCAGGTGACTTTGTGAGAAACATGATGGCACCTTATCTTGGTAAGGGCATACATTATATACCAAAAAACTGGTACACAAGCCCATTACTCAGTGATTTCATGCAAAGTGAACAAGACAGATGTGTGTGGCACAGTGCGTTCTAATCGTAAACACATGCCAGGCTCAACGCAGGTGCGCGTGGTGATGACGTGCAGGTGTTTACTGCCAATGACATCATGGCATTACGGTGCCATGACAAACGAGATGTCACATTGTTGACAACCTTCACCATAATGAAATGCAAGACATGGCAAGTTGATCGATGACTAATGAACATATTCGAAAACCAGTGACAGTGATTGTTTTATACAACAAACATGCGCTTGGTGAAAATGTGACATGCAGATTGGTTTTGTTGATTGTGTTCGTAAGAGTTACAAGTGGTACATGAAACTTTTCTTCCATCTCATGGACATTTCAATGCTCAATGCATATAATATGTACCAAATTTAAAAATTGGCAACAGACCACCGTATGGTGAATTTTGTTTGTTGTTATCAGACAACTCTAATGAAGTACCAGGTTAAGAACACCTGCTATAAAACAAGGCCCTCGAACCCCTCAGGATATACCCAAGCATTTGAGGAGGGAAGGTGATCATTTCATAACACAGCTTCCTTCAACTCAGAAGAAATTTGCTCAGAAGAGAGCATCGTCTGTGCACAAACAAAACGATGGCAACAAAGACGCAAAAAACACTCGGTTTCATGTGTGAGGAATGTAAGGTGCCTCTGTGCATGGTGCCTTGTTTCAAGGAGTTCCACAAGCTCCAGCAGTTCTAAAACCATGTCCAGTGATTGTAAATATGTAAATATATGATAGAACATTAGTATTATACAAAATTTGTTTCATGTTTATTGTAATAAACAACAGTGGTAAACAATAATATGATAATAACTTTAGTGCGGTTATTGTGTTCAATACAGTGAGTTTATATATATACATTATATACAGTATTGGTCTCTCAGGCCCCAAATGTTAGTAGGAAAAGAAAAAGATTGGAAAAGAAAAGAAAAAACTACAAAAACCGCGAAATAAAGTAATGCGCGTATGTGGAATTCATCGATGTTGCTGCCACCACATCATTTTGGACAAACTTCTTGGCACTGTATCTCAATAAGTACTGATCAGAATTTTTTTTTTTTGTCTTATTACCTTCACAAAAATATGCTCTTTAATTCTGTAAGAAAAAATAATTTTTTTTTTTTTTTTTCAAAATTTCTTGGACACTGGAGCACCACTTCAGATTTTGGCCTTGGACCTTGAAGGGGTTAAATCCGACTAGCGATACATTTTAACGCAAAAATTTTGCCTCAACTAGCGCTAAAAAACTCGACCAACACGATTCGTTCCGTCTGAGACGCGTCCACTTGTGGCCAGTGTTTACAAGCCAGCTAGCCACCGCGGTCCCATCCAAACATACAATCGGAACATGTCATATTATCACAGCGTTTTTAGTGATTGCACCTGCAAAATAAGTCACCATGGGCCCCAAGAAAGCTTCTAGTGCCAACCCTACAGCAAAAAGGGTGAGAATTACTATGCATATGAAGAAAGAGATCATTGCTAAGTATGAAAGTGGAGTGCGTGTCTCCGAGCTGGCCAGGTTGTACACAAAACCCCAATCAACCATCGCTACTATTGTGGCCAAGAAAATGGCAATCAAGGAAGCTGTTCTTGCCAAAGGTGCAACTATGTTTTCGAAACTGGGATCGCAAGTGATAGAAGATGTTGAGAGACTGTTATTGGTGTGGATAAATGAAAAACAGATAGCAGGAGATAGCATCTCTCAAGCGATCATATGTGAAAAGGCTAGGAAGTTGCATGAGGATTTAATTAGAAAAATGCCTGCAACTAGTGGTGATGTGAGTGAATTTAAGGCCAACAAAGGTTGGTTTGAGAGATTTAAGAATCGTAGTGGCATACATAGTGTGATAAGGCATGGTGAGGCTGCCAGTTTGGACCAAAAAGCAGCTGAAAAATATGTGCAGGAATTCAAGGAGTACATAGACAGTGAAGAATTGAAACCTGAACAAGTGTTTAATTGTGACACTGACAATGCTGTGAAGCACTTTAGGAATGTCATAAAGGAACGGGAGGTACAGGCCTCTATGGACAAATATGTTGTGTGACAGAGGTCCAGTGACTCAAGCTGGTCCTAGTGGCATTAAAAGAAGAAGGGAAGTAACCCCGGAAAAGGGCTTGATGCCTCAAGTCCTAATGGAACGGAATTCCCCTTCTAAACACTAACACCATCCACAGTCTCCCCTCTTCCCATCCCATCAGTCATCACCAGATCTTCAATAAAGGTAAGTGTCATGTAATTGTACATGTCTTTTTTAGTTTGTGTATATTAAAATTAATATTTCATG